GCAATGCCTAGTCAGAGTTCCTAGAGGCCTCTGCCTTGCCTAGCTATAGTAGGACACCCCTCCTCCCACAGGAACAAAGGGAAAACTGCATTTGGTCTAAGTGCTCAGACCTCTTAGACACCCTGTAAGGCTTTACCACTGGGGCAAACCAAGAGTGTTTTAGAAATGCAACTTCAAATTGTCATCAAGAATGGCAAGGGATATTATTTTCTCTTTGACTTCTCAAATATATAATTACCCTAGACTCCAGATCTGACCTACTTAAGTTTTGAAAGCCCTTCTTTGAGGGCCTATATCTACCTAGTGGAGTTTTATTAGAAAACCAACCACCTTAGCAAAGAAAGTCATCAAGATTGCTGTATCCCCCCAAGCTTCCAGGAGTTGAGAATCCCAAACTGTTTTTCACATCCTGAATGGGGCTTATTGGCAAAATATCAAATAAAGCAAGCAAAGCATAGAACCAACTGGGTAGAGGAGAAAGCTTTAATGGACAAAGGCTGACAGAGTGGGTCCAGGTTGGCACTAAAAAAAAAATAACAGGTTTACCCTCAACAATGGAAGACCTAGTGCATTACTTCTCCTCTTTTTCCCCCCAGTACTGGGATATAAGGAATCCAGGGCCTCACAAGCCTCACAATATGGTAGGCAAATACTCCATCATTGAGTTATACCTCCAGCCCTGCATTTTTATCTTACATGGTAATTATTAACATTTATAACCTCTAAGTCAATTATTCTATATAACAGAACATTACATGTAAGATTTCCCTTGTAAGCATTCTACTTTGATGAATTCAAGCATTCATTAATTTGGCATTAACCTTCCTTTAAAGTTAATGGTCAAATTGTTCTATAAATTATAAGAAGCAGAAGAGAAATATGAGTATAACAACTGGGAAACTTTAAAGTTTTTTTTTAAAAAGACAAAATGTAATTTAAAGCGATTTCCTCACTTAACTCCTTCATAGCTATGATTTAGAGGAAAGGGGAAGCCCGGAAGTTGCCATTTACAGAAGGGGAAATGGAAGCCCAGATTAAATAACTGGACAAGGTCAGAGAGAAGTCAGGGCCATGCCAAGAATAGAACCTACTTCCTTGATTCTCAGGTCTCTAATCCTGAGGCTTAGCACATATATTACTCCAATAAGTAAGTAATCATCAAATAGGTGCGATCTTGTGTAATTAAAACTAAATGCTGACAACAAATGATGTTTGTCGTTGTTTTACACATGGTTGGTACCTAATAAATATTTATATGATGAGGAAATGGTTGACATTACACATTTAGATTGAATACTGCCAGTGTGCGAAATTGATTTATATAAAGTGAGAGGTATTAATGCAAGGCAGATAGCACAGATTTCTCCCTAAAAATTTGTGTTGGCTACCACAGTTGAAAAAAATTGAAATTTTCATAATGTTACCTGATATGTTTTTCATTAGAAGGGCCTTTGTATATTTTGCAACTATATTATAATCGATCGGTGTTGTTACTCTGAAATTATGATATGTGAGTTAGATGGGGAGAAATAATTAAAGGGGTATGCATTCTAAGAATGCTTGCTCTCAAAACAAAGCTATAGTCATTGAAGGCTGCAGACACTAAACTTCTAATACTAAAGATCAAGACACATTCCGTATTTAAAAACTAGGCCTAGGTTAAAACAAAACAAAACAAAACAAAAACCCCAAACCAGGTAGCTCTGGACACTAACAGAGGGGTGACCTGAGCTAACAGTGCCAGCAGGGATGACCCATCCAAAGCCCACTTATCATCTGGTATCTGTGGGGACTATGTGAAAGTGGGCTTAATAGCCAGTTCAGGCATAACATGCTCCAGTCTCTTACATGGGCATCTCTTTGGTACTCAACCATACCAAAATAAAAACAATCTTTTAACATCTTAGATTCATCCTGAGAACACTGAACTGGTAACCTGGAGCACAAACAAATGATGCCCAGATTGTCCATTCTCCATACTCTCTTGGGATCCTCAGATCCCTAGGGTGACACCCCTTCCCTGAAGTCCTGTGTTGTCACTTGTTCTTTAGAACCTCCCTACTCCGTCAATTGCTGCCAGAGCTGCGGCAAAGATCATCTCTGAGATCAAGAGTAGCTCGTGGCTCTGAAGCATTGGTAGTCCCATTTCACTCTTCAAAGTGCAGGGGCAACATGAAGTCCCACAAATGGCATGTGGACCGGCCAAACTACAGGCAGCTTCCCCACATAACACTCTGCCCCACCCAGCCTTAACCATCTGCCGGGCAGAACCACTTCCTCCCATGATTGGAAATGAATGGACGGAGGGCCATGTGACCTGTGAGAATTACTTCATTCGCCCATTGCACCCTTGTATTTATTCTTTCTTTTACTTTTGCCTAACGTTTCTATAGTTCAATTCTTTTCTTTTCCTAAGTCATATTTTCCTCCATTCTACAGGGTTTTCCCCTCAGACCTATCAGATTTCTATTTTTAAAGAAGAATGATATTTTACTTTTCACAATTTATCTTCATTTCCTGGAAATATTTGGTACGATTTCTCATTGCTGTGAAACTAGTTCCATAGTAGAAATTTCCACTGAAGTTCCTTAGAAGTTCTTGGGTCTTTACTTGAAATATGCACCAGTCAATCAATAATTATAGCCTTGTATTTCTGCAGCACTGTGTGGTAAATGCTTACCGCATTTACTCCTTGTATTCTGTCTATAAAGTGTGTTTCATTATCTTGCTTTTATATAATCAGAAGCTGTGAACTACAGACATATGAGAGGTACTAGAAATTTAACAGCCCTGTGGCTGCTTCCTAGCTTTGTGCCAGGCTAACAAGGAGCAAGTTTACCAGTATCCATTTAGAAGTCTCTACCAGGAAAATTCAAAACTTCCTCCTCATTTTATTCCATGTTAATAATGTAATAGTTTTAAATACCGAAATACTTCTTATACCAAAATATGCAGGACAGTAAAAGGGAGAAATTCTGCTTTATTCCTTCTTGGTTTATTAGCTACATGATTTTTTTTTTCTTTTCTTCTTTTTTGCAGTACCAGGGATTGAACTCAGGACCTTAGGCTTGCAAGGCAGGCATGGCACCACAAAGCTAAATCCCAGGCCGGCTACATGATTTTTTCGTAGCCATCATTTTTTAAAGTAACCATCTTTTCCTCCTCTTTTTCCTAATGTTTCATTTAAAAAAAAAAAACAGATTGTCAGGCCAGGGATTTAGTTCAGTGGTTCCATCGCCTGCCTCACAAACGCAAGGACTGGAGATTGATCTCTGGTACCAAAACAAACAAACAAACAAAAATTTTAAAAAACCTGAATTGTTCATACTAATGAGGCACCACGTGACATTTCAGTATGTGTATACATTATGTAATGTTTAAATCAGTTTAAACATATTTCCTCAAACATTTGTCATTTCTTATGGAGAAAATATCCAAAACCCTTTCTTATAGCTTTCTGAGATATATAGTACATAGTCATGAGCTTTAGTCACTCTACTATGCAATACCACAGCAGAACTTCTTACTAATGTTTCATAAGAACAAATTAAAGGCAGAAGAAAACCCCCAATATTTCTTAGTTAAAACACAGCTCATTTGCATAATATATTTTACCACTTTTTTTTTAAAGAAGGAAGTTTCTAGGTGATCAGTAGTTCTGATAGTTTTAAAATATGCTTACATATTTATCATATTCTAGGAGATGAACAATTTAGGTCTGAACTTCTTATATTAACTTAGATACATAAACTAGATGACCATATTAAGCCAGTTATTAATTTCAGGTTACTCAAATGACTATAGTGTAGCCTTAAAACTAAACTACTGCTTCTCTATATTTCTATTCTTAGAAAAAGATATTTGAATGACAAGTCAGACATTATGTGGAGTTCCATAACTTACCAGTAACTTTTCACTATCAGTGTACCCTAAACAAAGAATCAAGACACAGATGGAGACTTGAAATTGAAGAAAGAATTTAGAACATCAAATAGGCACTTTTGTTTATGCTAGGATTATGCCTTGTTTATTTTTTCATCAGATTAGGTTTTTTTAATAGCAATTCTTCCAAACACTCTGAAAGTTAAAAGCAATAAAGCAAACTTTTTGGCATAATAATAATTCTTAGACTGTTTCCATAATATCTTATTAGTGTACATATTGCTCCTATTCCTGTTTTTCAAACTAGCTCTCCTGAACTATCATTGGTACCATCCCTCTAGACTAGATAAAAGGGAAAACACAAACAGTGTTCAGTCAGTAAGTCATGTGAGGAAATTTTGTGTATGCATGAAGGGTTGGGAAGTATTTATTCAGCAGATGCAGACTGAGCATATATGGTGTGCCAGACTCAAGATACAGAGCAGTTAGCTCATAGCTTACAGACAAATGAGCATACATTCACCATGGTGTAAACATGTTTTTCATACTGGGAGGAAGAAATGAGTCTGAATGAGGCAGTTAGGAAGCTTCATTGAGAAGGTGATACGAGAACTGAGCCTGGAGTTTGATAAAGGAGGACATCTTATGAGGCAGACAGTGGGTGGAACCCCATTTCAGACATATGGAAAAGCATAAGCAAACCCTCAGAGATAAAACATAGTGATCATTAGTGTTGGGAAGACTGTGGATCATCCAATGAAAAATGGGAAGATCAGTGTAACTATCACATGGGTGTAGCTAAAGTCTGAAGATTCTCTACTGGGAAACAAGCACGGAGGTTCTATCCTGGGCAAGTAAGAGGTCTCAGGTTACCTTAGTTCTGTGTGTCTGTATTCCTAAAATGGCACACTAGAGAGAAAAATGATGCAACAGGGAGCCAATGGAGGAAATCTTCAAGAAGCAGTAACTGTTGCCTACCTGTTTCCAAAGTAGGTGAAGTCTTTGCCCCAAATATATTGCATGTTCTATCTGTAAACTCCCACCGGTCCATTAAAGTATCTTAGTTCATGATAGCAAAAGAATATTTGAAAGTCACACAAGAAACGAACTGCCCCTACCTTGCTCTGGAATGATTATGGTTACAGGGATGCCAGAACCACTGCACTGTAGGTTGAGGGATTCCATAGACGGTACAGGTTAGGACTTGCCTGCTGCCCAGTGGGTAGAGAGTTGGTTCTGGGAATGACGACACAGCCTTTTCATAAATTTGGGGTTTCACTGGAAGGACATGAAGAACAAGATAAAAGTCAAAGACTTTCTGACTTTCTCCTAGGCCTCACATGAAGGACCAGTCTCACGGGTTTTGATATCAGGGAAACAACACAAATAGATCTTGTGGCCAAGAAAATGCCTGTTTTTAAAAGCTACAAGTATGTTGAGAACATTAATTTGATTCCATGTATATACATTCTGATTATAATAACCTTTGTTGCCAATGGAAGACAAGCAAACGAAATAGTCCTGATGGTAACAAAAGTGGTTTGAAAAACAGTTATTTAAAATTTTGTTTTCTTTGACACTGTACTGACTTTTTGGCGTTTTGTTTTTTGTTTTTTGTTTTTTGCAATGCTTATTAGGATTGAACTTAGCACCTCAGGCATACTGGGCAAGTTTTCTACCACTGAACTACATACCCAGCCCTTCATACTGACTCTTGAATTGACTAGTTTTCACTAGTTTCCCCCTTGCTAGAACCCAAAGAATGTATGAACCACAAACTTACCATTTACAGTTAGAGTGGCAGTGAGGTTTTTAAACACATTTAACTGCTTTATGCCCAGCAGGATCGTATAATTCCCTGCATCCTCTGCAGTTACATCTTTGATAATTAATGAATAGCCATGAGCCAAGTAACGAGCAGATTTCTTTGTTGCCGGTAACCCATCTTTCAGCCTGTTGTTCAAAACATGATCAGAAAGTCACTCCCCATGCTTCTCCAATATCACGGCAATTCAGTTTGTGAGTTCCAGTTAATCAGTTTGAGCCTTTGATCACTGATTTTAAAATGTTGAGTACTAACGTTTCAATAAAAGCAGATAACGGCTTTTAGGCTAGTTACTACTTCATATTTATTGGCAAAGAAGGAGTAAACCAAAAGAAAAAAGAAAAGTGGTGACTTAATGTATACAGGGATGCCAGAGGCCACTGTGACCTAACGGAGGTACAGGCTCTAATTCCATTGAGATATTTTTCAGTTTCCCATGAGGTTCCATGAGCAATTCAAGAGCCATTGTAAGTCATATCAAGTAGATTTCTTCTCCAGATAAAAATAAAAATAGACGTTCCTATTGTGGTCTCATGTGGAGTTCTTATTAGTTATGTAAATGGTCACACCAGTTGTCCCTTTCATAGCAAAACTATAGTGAAATCAAGATAATTTTCCCGGAGGGAGAACTGCTGAGGCACAAAACAAACTACAAATGTAGAATAATTTCAAAACATTTTACGTATAGAATAAATGCCTTGATATCATTCAGCTGTACATAGAAGTGAGAGTCAGGAAACCTGGACTTTCAGCTGGCTCCACCCCTAACTGCTCGATGGGTGTGAAGCCAGTGTGAGCTTTAGTGACCACAACTTCTCAAAGATCCCTTTTAACTCTAACATCCTATGGTTTTATTTCAGTGCATAGTTCTTTAAATGGGCATTTTTGATCTGGTAAAAGTTTATTGTGTTCTCTTAAAAGGTAAAATAAAGGAGTGGTGTTAGTTCATGATCATCCCTGTATTACACAGTCCTGCAAACCAATTCCCATTACTACCAAGTCTCAGTTCTGAAGCAGTTAAAATGATGAAGTTATATTTTGTGATAATAAGCATCAGTTTAGTGTTAATTTAAATTACTTCCTATTACAGGATAGCTTTTTTTTTTTTTTTTTTTTTGGTACCAGGGATCAAACTCAGGACCTTGTGCTTGTGCCATCACTAAGCTAAATCCTGAGCAGGACAACATTTTTTTATAGTGCATTGAATTTTTTTTTTCACCTCTTGCTACATGGTTATTGAAGAAATCAGCATTAACAGATGAGAGTACACTTGTATGTACTTAAAGAATGAATGTAACTTCTGGCTATTAAATTATTATGAAATTTAATAATACACTGCTAAACTTTTTAGATATTATGAAAGAAAAAAATCCTTTTTCCAGTGCTATGGTATGAAGGTATAATACAAAGTTTAATTTTTCTCTTCAGTTCCCTATTAAGTATTCGAGAAACTAGAAGAAAATGCTGCACTAATATGACAGTGAAGACCAAATAAGCTCTGCCTGAAGAGATTTCAAAAAGGCACCACTCCTGTATTGTATGGATTGTTTTCCTAATCAGTTTTGTTTTTCGCCACAACCTTTGTTTAAATGTAATGACTTAAGCCAATGATATTGGCATTTAAAAGTAATTTAACAAAATGAGTTCAGATTGTAAACAGATTACATTGTTTTACATCAGATATTGCACGTTTTTTAAATGGCTTAAAAAGTTTCTGAATATGCAACTTCCAAGCCCAAAAAAACCGAACAAACAAACAAAAAAAACAACACTTCATTAGTTCAAGTAGGTCTACTTGTCCATTCCCACAAATGAATGTCCTGTGTCTGTTAATGTTTGTTTAATTTTAAAACAAGATTGGAACTTTCAACACAGCTGTATATAAAATTATTATTTTCAGTGTCCTCATTACAAGGGCCCACTTCTTCAGGGTTAATAGAGCATGTTACACATTCAAGACGCTTCCTTACTTATGGCTCAACATGTTCCATTCAAAGAATGTTGACATCATAGGGAGGTTTGGAGATGTAGAAATTTAGTGTTGGCAAGGGGCTGACTAAACTGAAATGAGTACTTATTTTAAAAAAAAGAAAAGAAAAAAAAACCACTCATCTCATCCTGATTCATTATTTCCCTTCCCCACTTGGCCGCCACCAGGAAATCAACACAGCCCAGCACTCCAATGCTGCCTAAGCAACTTCTCTTGATAGTTTCTTAAGAAATTAAGTCATTGGGCTTTTGTGTCTTCTACTTATAAAACGTATCTTAAACTGCTATAAAAATGACTGTGGTCCTACCATACAACTTCTGGCGAAGGGAAGGCCTTCACTCTCATGGAGAGCTGGTAGGACTGTTTGCCAGCTGTAGTCTCGTACACATGCCTTTTCCGATGTTTCAAAGTGATGAATGGATTTTCTTTCATAGGAGAAGTGATAAGAACATTAGAACAGAATATGTAAAAAAAACTTCACTGCCTCATTAAGGGAAGGTGCAATCAATGAATTATTAAATAGACCTGAATTCTGATGGAGCCTATCATAATGGATAGGATGGAGCCAGCCTAAGTGTTGGTCAATGAATACAATACTTTAAAAGCATCTTAATTGGTAAAATATTTTCAAATCAAGGGCTAGCAAGTCCTGAGGACATAAAACATCGCAGGCCAATAGAGAACATCTGAAACACCCACTTCATCAAAACAAAACAATGGGAAGATATTTCTAAAAATCTGTCTGGCCAAGATGAGAGAAATCTATTTGACCACGAGAGAAAGTTACTATGGACTCAAGTAACCTAGAGATAGCCAAAAGGAAATGAAAGAGTTTTGAAGAACAGCTCTGTAGTTTTTGTTCTTCACACTCTTTTCTCCTACCCAAGTATTAACCAGGCCCAACCCTGCTTAGCTTTCAAGATCAGATGAGATCGGCTGTGTTCAGGGTGGTATGGCTATAGACATGTTTTCTTTTTCAACAATGGCATAAAATTTTTAACATTTTGTTTATATAATTTGCATATTGGAATTAAGCAAAAATACTAGGATTTCAAGATAATAAAACCAGGAGTAAGACAGTATTCATTCTAAATAATTTATCACACCATATGTTTCAATGAAATACTTGAGAAAACTTTCTCAGATGGTAAAGGTAAAACATCATCATTTTCTCTTGTTTATATGGAACACAAAATGCTATATTTTCTAGTCATTACAGACTTTGGGTTTTATAAACAAGCCTGGCCAGTGGTTACACTTTTGGAAAAACACAGGAAAAAACATAGCATGATTTGGCAACACTTACCATATACATGCACTGAGGTATTAACAGATTTTATTGATGGTCCACTCTTCACCTGACAAGCATAAAGTCCCTTGTCATTTCTCTGTATTTTTTTAATAATAAGAACACTGTGGAACACATTGGTTTGGGGTTGGCTTTTGTCAATTCGTTGCCTTATAAAAGCTCTCCCAGTTCCCTAGAAAGAAAATAACAAATGTATTAGTAGCAATTGTTCATACTTAAAATTACAGTATTTTAGTATTTCTCAGGTGAGTATTTTGACAGCTGCTTCTTTTTTAATGCTAAGAAACATATCAAACCTATCTGGAACAAAATATTTAGAAACTACATCTTTCCCTAGATGTGCTTCAGCTTGGTAGTGCAATAGCCTTTATTTAGTGCTTTATTTCTTCTGATGGACATATGTCATTTGAATTGTTTTTTCACAACCACCTCGGGAAATTGATAGGATTATTGTTCTTTGGCTAATGAAGAAACTGAAGTGACAGCGACACTGGCCTACATAGTGTAGGAGCCCAGGTCTTCGAGTATGAATCTAGGGCTCTTCTTGCAGCACAGCTATATCTCTAAATGGTAGCCTGTTCTCTAGCCACAGGAATCATATCCAAGCATGCAGGATAATTATTTTAGTGTCTGGCTTAATGACAGTGTTTCTGTTAATAAATCATCATATGGGTTTCCCTTGCTGCTGCTGCTGTAAATAAACAGATGATTCTGGACCAGGCAGACTAACATGGAATAGTCCTCATTCCATTATTTCACTATTTGAGCAATTCTTGCCAATTTCTACTAAGTTCTAACACACAGATCTGGGTATGCAAATTTATGGACAGATTTAGTCATTGTCTGGGGGGTTGTTGTTCAGCATTTATCCAAGGAAGACCAAGAGAAAGCTCAAAGCTCAGCAACCTGAACTGGGCAGTGATCTATTCCTTTTTTTTTTTTTTTAAATTTTATTGAGTTTATTGGTACATTTTAGGGATACAGTACAGTTACATTCATTGTTGGGATCATGTACCTTTACATGGCAAGTCTTGATTCTCATTTTTTCCCCTTACCTCTGCCCTCCCTTAAAGGCAAAATCAGGCTGGGGATTTAGCGCAGTGGTTCCTCTGCCAGCCTCGCCAGCAGAAGGACCCAAGTTCTATTCCCGGTACCAATAAATAAATAAACAAATAAATAGGCAAAATCACATTGTCTTCTCCTTAATTGTCCATTTTATAACACATAATATGTCATTTCCTCCTTTCAGTGTTTTCCCATGGAGTTAGTAGTAGGTCATGGAAACAAGACTTTGGAAGCTACCCTGACTTGTCTTTGAGTCTGAAGTTAGGTCTTCCCCTTGCCAAGTTTAACACATTTCACCCACCTATGTTTTTTAATTCCCTGGTGGCACAGACTATATTGAGACCATTTTCTTCATTATCAGCAGTACCAGAGAGAAAGTCAATCACTGCCATCAAAAGTGAAGGAATCAGTCTCCTAAGATGACGAACTAAGAACTTCTGCAACTCTATTTGTGTAAGAATTACCTCTCCCTTTGTGAACTCTTTTCTTCCCCAGGTTCAAGTAACACTGGTATTGTTTTTCTCTTAGGAAACAATTTATCCTGTGTTCTAGGATTGTGTTGTGTAATACTACAGCTACCAGACACAGCTGGCTATTTAAGTTAAAATTAACCAAAATTTGAAATTCATTTCCTCTGTCAAGCTAGCCATATTTCAAATGCTCTTTCCATATGGGGCTAGTGATTACTTTATCGGACAGCACAGGTATAGGATATTTCCATCAAAAATGTTCTATTGGACATTAACATTTTTGAAAATTATTGGTATTCAATAAATATATTCTACACTTATTTACAGCAACATTGCTAACAGGATAAACATTCCTTCCTTTTTGGCATTTACTGAAAATATCTGCTTTCTATCACAATCCAGAAAATATTACGCGTCATATAACTTTTATTTAAATAAAATAATACTATTTCCTAGAAAACATCTTATCAGAAAACTGATAGGTCCCTGAATACCTCTTTATAGAGTACTTATTACATCTACTTGTTGCTAAGTTATTCTATTTCCTTGGCAAGAAATGTCAATAACAATACCTTGGGGCTGATACATTAACCTTTTGTACATTATTTAATCATACATTAACTTGGTGATTGGGCAATGGAATAAATATTAAATGACTCTACAGCACTTGGGACATGCCACATAAGTCATACTGACACTCATGAGACACAGACTATCTACTGTGAGAATTTTTTTCTTTTAATTTTAAATTGAAATTATTGGTACATTCTATGTAGACAGTTAAAGTTGCATTCATTACTGGGATCTTGTACCTTTACATGCCAGGTCTTGGTTCTCATTTTTTCCCCTTGTCCCCGCCCTCCCTTCATACTTTATCACAGTTTCTCCATCTGTACACTTTAAAAAAATTGTTGTTTACAAAGATGTTCCATCTGAATAATAGAACCTGATCAGTCTTCATTCTTCTCATTTTTCTGAAGGACAGAATTGCTCTTTTGACACTCAACAGATGGAATATTGGACAGCTGGGCTGCAGTTATCTTTTCCAAACACACGGTAATCAGGAGCCTGACTATCTCCCAGTACCTTAAATGAATGTGCTGACAAAGGCAGCTTCCCAAAAAGTAGTAGTTGTTGTTACAAAAGTCAATCTCTGCCTGGCATCTAGTGATAAATTTCTCTCTCATCTCTAAATCCTAGAGCATCGTTTCTAAGGATGAAACAATCCCTTTTCCCACCCAGAATCAGTGCAGAAATAGCAGCCTATACACTTCAAAACAAAGCAATCAGACATCAAAAGACAGTATCTATGCCAATCACATTCATGAAATGCCAGGCAAGGAAAGCACCCTATCCAAACCCAAAGCTTCCTTATTGATAAGCACTGCTACAGCAGCCACAACCCTCTGGGTTTTCCCCGTCTCAAAAACCCAGACATTTGCTAAGAGTATATAGTGTCCTGCAAAACAAGTAGAAAAATGGGTCACTCACTTTACCAGGGTAATTCCAGGTCATCTGCACTCTTGTGTTCAAAGCAGTCCTGGCCGTACATCTGAGAGTAAGAGTGCGACCTCTGAGTAGTTTCACTGGGTTTGCTGGGCTCATCTGGACACTTCTGATTGTATTGGCTACAAGTATAAGAGAGAAAACATTTTAAACACCAAAAAATTCACTGGCAGCCAAGCCATGGAGCATTTTGGCTGAAGCTCAGGCCTTTGCACCATCACTTACTTTGCCGATGTGTGAGATAGTTTGAAGCATACGACTGTTCGTTGATTGTTGTTTCACAGGACAGAAGCCCTATTTCTCTGTATGTTGCATTGGCTATTGTGAAACCCTTCCTACTGTCCCAAGTTATTCTTTTTCCATCAGGGACCAGAGTATCAAATGGAAACTGAAAAGGAAGAAATATCCTTTAACAAAATCATATTAGTGCTGTAACAATGCTGCTTCACTGGTCAGTAGTGAAAACGTAATTTTCATTTAAATAGTATAGGCAAAACCTCTGGTCTTTGTGTTTCTTTAGTTCTCTCTGCATATGCCAAGATACATTTTATATGATAAATTAGGGTCATTATGGTAATTTAGTATCAGTCTTGGCAGCAAGCGGCACTTGCCCAGGATCTAACTTGCTGTCGTGTCAGAGTTCTACTCGGAGCCTGTGACTCCTTGGCCTTGGGGATCTTCGTGGTAAATGACCTGGTACTCAACAGAATAATCAGTTAGCATGTTTTCCACTGGGGCTACCAGGCCATTCCTCTTGTGTCTTTATCATCTGATCTTGTAATAAGCCATCACTTGTCTTCCCATTTTGCATGGCTTACTAAAGAGGAAGTTGCCTATCAATAACTCCATATCCTCCAAGATTCCTCACATGAACATGGCATTTACTGAGATTGTTATTGTGAGAATTCTACTGCCTCACAGAAGCTCTGGCAGTGGATCTGGCCTCTCGAGGCCAGGACACTGTTGTGACTGAAACATCTTCTCTTAAGAGTATTGTCAAGCACAGTGAATTCACACTGAAGAAAAAAATTCATGAGTTATTTCTCTCTTTGTCTTTTTCCAATATCCAGGACTTTTCCTTTTCTTTCTGTGGTGCTAGGGATGGATCTCAGCCTTCGCACTTATCAGGCAAGAGCTCTACCACTGAGCTACACCCCCAGCACCCAGGACTTAAGTTTTAAAACCTACAATGTAAACACTCTACCTTGAGCTTTAATTTTATCAAGTGTCATTGCTCCATGACTGGCCAAGCAAAATTCCATAGATGCCATGTTGCCAGTGCGCTTTTAGAGACATGGACTCTGGTTACTGCTACGACTTATCAGTGAAAAATAGGAAAAAAATTAGATTACTTTTGCCCAACAGATTATAAAGGAAATGCTCAACATCTATCAAGATATTCGAAATACGTTTTAAGAGTACACCTGCCTCTGTCTCTGTCTCTGTCTCTCTCCCTCCCTCTCCCACCCCTCCCACTCCCCCTTCCTCTATCTCTCCCTCTCCATCTCCCTCTCCCTCTCTCATTTATTCATAAATGAAGTTATCCGTCTGGAAGCTGTGGCAGAGACTTCCAGCCTAAAAGTCACTAGCACCTCTCTTCCAGTGAGGATGCCTGTACTGGTATGTATTACCAGTGCTGCTGGGGTTTAAATTAATCACATCCTGTTTACTCCTAAAGGCAAGTGAAGGATTCCTTTCATGTTTTAGTATATCAATACTCTACCTGTTAGCTTAGGAATGCTTTGATTCAGTGGGGGAAAAGAACCTTCTTTTGTAATTTGGCACAGTTAAGGGGAAAATTCAGAAAAATATAAGTCAGGAATCGAAACCTATGATGCTTTCAAAGTCATCAAAAATGTGCATGTGCCAACCTATAAGAAATGTTTGCTGACACATTTCCTCAGCACAATTTAGAAAATTAACATTTCCTTTAAAGTGTTTTTTACTCTGATCCATCTACTACCATCCCCAGTACTGTTGCACTGACAAAGTAGCTTTGTTTTTTGCTGACAAGTGCAAATAATCAGCTATGGCCATTGCTGCGTGTGTCATAGAGGTAGGGAGATTGCACTTTCAAGACAAGGTTCCCAGCAGGGAGGGCTGTCTCCAGCTGACAATGGCTCCACCAGAGAAGGGGAAAGGAGAGGGAAGGGATAGCAGATTAAAAGAAAAGGGTAATATGAAAAATGGAAAGGAAAGTGGTTAATTTCATGTCAGCACAAATAATAGGTTAGGATACTTTCAATATCTATATATGTCAAAACCAAAATTCCTGTAAGGATTTTACCCTTCTCTTGTCTTTATTTTGAAAGATTGTATATTGTAGAGGTTAGGCAGAAAAACAGAGTAGATAACTTCCCCTGCCCCACATTTTTACATGCTGGAATCGTGGAATGTTCCTGTAACAGAAAAACCCACCTGCAGTAGGACTTGCATAATTTCCCTATCTTCACAGTTTTCCATGTTAATCAGGTAGCAGTTATTATCTCCAACTAAGAGGAGTAACATCACGCAGTTGAAAACATGACTTGGTAGTAAACCAAGAAATGAGTATTAAACTGTTAAATAATACTAATAGCTGATCCTTGAATGAGGCTTGTCTTATGCCAGATGCTAGTCTAAGTGCTTTCCATCCTGCCTCAATTGCCCTTCTTAATGACTGTGTGGAGGTGGTACAACTGTGATCACCCCATTTCTCAAATGAAGGGGAGGAGTTGGGTTACTTGTTGGTTTTCCAGGAGGGAAGTGGCAATGTGGTGAGAATCTGGGGAGTTTGACACCAGCCTCTGCTCTGCGCCACTCTGGCCTTCCTCTTGTGCAAAATGAACCACTGGAGAAATGGAGTAGGAAAAGATTGGGAAATCATAATATTGGGTGTAATACTCAGTATGCCAAAAGTCCCCCCACCTTTCCCTGAAACCTCAGTATTTTCTTGACCAGTTGCGTTTAAGTCCTTTGGTGGCTCCTGCTGATACCCAGTGACTTTATATTTTTCTGAAAATAGCACACAGATGTGATAGAGACTGAAACCTGTCCCTAATAGATTACATAGTAGGCTTAAGTCAAATTAAAAACAAAGCAGAATGATGCAAGGGAGGAGGACAAGGCAACAAACATTTCATCTCATTTTAGGGCTCCACATGCAAACCACAATTTGGACTTTCCCATCCTTGCTAACCAAGATTCACTAACTCACTTCCTCAGTACCTGTTTTGTGGTGGATGGTGTTAGATTTGGGAGTTTTGTCTTTTAACTCTAAGCTGTCAGAATTTAGTACAGTTTTCCAAATGGGGAATTTGTATTCATTCTTAGTCATAAACCAGTCAGTGCATGCCTGTAATCCCAGCACTCAGGTGGATGAGGCAGGAGGATTGCTACAAGTTCAAGGCCAGCCGGGGCTACACAGTGAGTTCAAGTACAGCGTGGACTACATAGTAAGACCCTGTCTTAAAAACAAACAAACAAACAAATTCTTAGTCCTAGTACATTGTGTGTGTGTGTTGCTGAGATTGAACCCAATCCTTATGCTATCCCAGAGCTATATCTCAGCCTTTCCAAACTTGTCTGATGAATTAAGTAGAATGTCACATTTTCGTTTTGTCTTTATTACAGTCTACCATAAATGTTTTCTTTTCCACATAAACTATTTAGAATATAATACAAAGGAAAGCCTCCTGGATGACATTTTCTCTACCTCTTTTTTACCTAAGATATTAAAATTGGATGCCCAGCAGGAGTTAAAGCTTTTGTCACTAGAACTCCCCAACTCAAACAAGAGATGATGGCTCCTATGCATGAAGCAAATAAATGCATATCAGTACCTGGAGAATGGATAGTTCTATCTTCAGAATAGAGGAGTCATTCTGCTAAGTCATTCATTTGTATAAGCACTAAAATTTGCTTTTCTTATGTTCAGACATTTGATTTGTGAAAATATATACAAATGTTCTGGATTCCAGGTATTCATATAGATTTATGATTAAGACTAAATTCCATTTTATTCTATTGAAATACAATACATGCATGGCTACAACTTCTAGCACTTCTCTACTGTTGTAGGATACTACAGGTAAGTCCACTGAGAAGTCTGTGGATCTGTAATAAAATTATTCCAGAAGACAAGATGGTTAAATCATTATGCTCACTTGCAGTAAAAACATTGAGAGGCGCACTGATAAATTTTACCTTTTTAAGAGTAACAATGATGTTAGGTGATGAAACCCGGCAGGGGATGATGAGTGTCTTTCCTTCTGTCATATATATAATCGCAGGTATTTCATCGTGCATCTCTACAAAAGGTCTATTTGTATCTGAGTGAGAAAAAATAAAAAATGCATAAATGATTAAGTACAAACACACAGACTCTGCAACTGGTGAGGTCGTCCATGTACCACACCATCTTCCCCTTAGGGTCATTCACAGTGTTTGTCTCTGAATTTGACCATCTGTGTTTCTGCATGGAAAAAGATACTTTTTTGTTTTTGTTTTTTGAGACAGGGTCTCACTATGTAGTTGAGACTGATCTGGAACTCACTATGTAGCCCAGCCTGGTCTTGAACTAACAGCGATCCTCCTGCCTTATAAAACCCAATTTCTTACTCAGGTTTTGAGTGGGTTTGCCTTCGGTGGGTTTGCCCTGATACTCTAGTATGCAGTAGACATATGGGCTACCACTGAGAGTGAAAGAAGAATGTTGTGCTTAAACTTCTTAACCACAGCTATTCTGAGTGCTCTAGGAAACGCCATTCAGAGTCTTTGTAATAGCTCAAAGGCCACAGACGCAGGGACCAAAGTCAACTCTATTTGGAGAGTTAGTGATGTAGGAGTGTAGCAATTTAGAGAGAGGATTAGCATTTGAATGGCAGAAGCATATCTTAACAGGTTTTCTAGACCTTTCCTGGTAGACTGTTATGAATAAGAATCTCTGAGCTGCTCAGGGGGAGAGCAAGGCGCAGGAGAAGCGCTGTTGAGAATTTCATGTGTATGTATATATTAGGTCTGTATCTTTAGTATTCACGGCTTATCTATGAAGAGCAAAAACAAAGTATGTACAACTGCCTACAAAGAGGTCTGCAAAAGGCTTTAAATAATCACCAGAATATATGCTTTGAAAGTATGGCATTTGGCCCTTCTGAGAGGTGAGGAAGATTCAGACAGCCTGTTCTGCTTCCTGAGAAACCAGAGTGAACATCAGAGCCTATTAGAAACATTCAGTGTCTGCCCAGGCCCTGGCCCTCAAGAATCCATCGACACCCTTAGGCAGCCATTTCTTCAGGAGTCACTGTGCCCAGATGCCCCCCACCCCATGCCTGGCTCCAGTCTTACATGCTCAGATTAAGTTCTATGTGAACTCCATCCATCTGGATCTTAAAGAATCAAGCCGGTCCCCACCTGCTTGCTGATCCTTTCAGATCTGCAGGTTAGGAAGCTCATTCTGGATGTTGAGTGGAAAACAAATTGTAGAAAAATGAAACAAACTTTTTTCATTCAGTAGGCAATAACTGCCTAGATGGTGGCTATACTGATCCTTAAGGGTTGAGTTGTGCCCATCCCCCTAAAATACTACTACCACCACCACCTAAAACAGTTGAAGCCCAAATTTCCCTGTACTTCCAATGTGGCCTGTTGGAAATAGACTTGTTGCTAAGTAGAGTTGGTCCTGACTGGCATCTGTACAGAAAGACAGCCACATAAAGACAAAGACCAAGCGTGGTGTGAAATCTACAAGTCAAGGAATCAGAGATTGCAGGGAACTACCAGAAGGTAGTAAGAGACACAGACAGATTCAGAGGCTTGGCCCTCAAAACACCTTGAATTCAGACTCACAGAGGCATAGAAAAAAAGACTGGAAACAAATACACTAAAATGTTAACAGTGATTATCTTTGTGTGGTAGCTTTATGAGTTGTTTTCTAATTTAACTTCTTATAGTTGGCAGTTTCTCTAGAATGACAGTGTGTCATTTTATAATATTTTAAATTGCTAAAGTTAAATCTCAAATTACAAAGCACCATTCATTTGAATTTGAGGAAAACTATATACATGTTGTATTTGGTTTACTTTAGCTCTGTTCTCTATAATAGTATAAGACATTAACTGTCCCAATTAATAAAGATTTAAGCTTATTAGGAATTCTCAGTAGATATAAAACATACGTGAAGCAGAAAAGTTAATTATATGTAGACAAGGATTTCTTATCAGCATTAAATTCCTCTTCTAAATAAAGTTGATGAGCTAGATACTCAGCTAGAGACTATTGGGATTTCATCATTCCTTTCCTTCCTTCCATGAGTCTATATTTTTGTCTCTTTTGTGAACTCCAAGGTAAACACAAACCCCAGGAAATGGTTTAATCCATTTAACTAAGCTGTAAATCCTTTATGTTTAATTTACGCTCCTTAACCATTTTCAATAAAGGACACTGGCATAAAAGTTCCTACAGGAAATGGTCAACATCAGTGTCATCATTTCTAAGCTACTGAAATGCCAGTTCCAAATGGAAATATACCAGGCTAATTTAACATTGTCTTTGAGTTTCTTCTTCCACTTGTGTCTTTGGATCCCTAAACACTTGAATTTACTACAACTACTGGCCTCTAAAAGCCAATTCCAATTTCAGTACTGAGCCCATTACAATTCTGTTCAAAGATGTCAGAATTTCACTGATTTGTGTCCATTTGAACATAATTTAAAATATATCATTTGTATGACAGTCAGTAGTGGCATAAATGCACTTTTGCAAATGAACTTATGACTAGACACACACACACACACGCACACGCACACGCACACACACACAGAGACAGACAGTATTCCCTGGGCTTATTAATAGTTTATTTCCTCTGCAATTTACTTTAAGGAAGGACGGAGAATAAACTTGCCTGACATAATACAAACATATTTTGTTTTGTAGGACCATAGATACAAAAGAGGTCATGGTTCCATTAATATCACCAGTAAAACCACTTACTGCTCCCATAGGATACATTTGTCTTTGTCACAAAATTAAAAATGACTCCCAAACACAGCCAGCACTGCAGAGTGGTTTCCTGCGACCAAATTGGCTGGTTGTTGAAAGAATGAGGAAGAGCTGCTCCAAAGGCTGTGGGGCCTGCAGCTCAGACACAGTGACTGAGGACATGTGCCAGTGCACAGCTAGGTAAAGGTCACACTGCCCTCACCACACTGCACTCTGGGAGCTCAAGGCAGTGACAGAACTGGCTAGGAATATGAGATCTTCTCACCCAATGGGAATATCTGGGCTATCACTTGTCCTTCAGGGCAATAAGTGGGCTCAGACATAGAGAAGATCAAACAGGACCCTTGCTCAGAATGGAATTATGTCTATTTTTAAAATGTGTTTTTTCCTTTTGAAATCTGCAATTGTGCTGGCACAGATCAGGCACATGAACAGAGGTCTAGCATGCTATCCTCATTCTGCTCCATTCCAGCTGGGTGTTCCGGGTTCAGAGTAAGTGCGGGACCCCCCAAATTTAGGCAGCTTTTTATTTATTTTTTTAACTTCAAAGGGGTTCAAGAGTAAACATCTTGTTTTTTAACACAAGTACATTTGATGTTGTTTAATAAACTGTTTTCTGATTTCTTTTTCCTTTATTTTAATTTTCCTTACTTCGAAGTCCTGGTCATGAGGACTCATAGTTATTTATTAATTTGTATTTATTTTTATTTTTATTAGTACCTGTTTGCAGTACATAATGATTACATTCCTTATGGGGAGTTTGTATATGTACATAACATATCTTAATTTTTATTCATCCCCTTCCTCTCCCCTCTTTATCCCCTTATTCCAACTCTTATTCCCTTTCTTTTGCAAAAGAGTTAGCACCCTATTTCTTATTATCTTTTATTTTGCTCTTTGCTTATATTTTAGATTTCTCCAAAGAGAAATAATGCAACATTTAAGCTTATGTGTCTGATTTATTTCACTTAACATTATGGTCTCAAGGTGGATCCATATTCCTACAAATGAAGTTTATCCTTCATTATGGCAGAGTAGTACTCCATTGTGTATATATACATTTACTTTATCCACTCATCTATTCATGGACATATAGGCCACTTTCAAGAGTTAGCTATAAAAACTATGCTGCTATAAACGTGGGTATGCATGTAACACTGTAATATGGTGTCTTTCACTCTTTTAGGAAGATATCTACAAGGGGAATAGCTGGATCATGTGGAATTTCTATTTTAGCTTTTTGAGCCATCTCCATACTGACTTCCATAACGATTATACCAGTTTATGGTACCATCAACAATTTAGAAGGGGTTCCCTTTTCCCTGCAGCTTCATCAGCATTTGTTATTCTTTGATTTCTTGATGATAAACATTCTTTCTGGAATAAAATAGAATCTGTTTTTTAAATTTGCATTTTCTAATGGCCAGAGATGATGAACACTTTTTCACGTATTTATTGTCCATGTATGCTACTTCTGAGAAGTGTCTACTCATTTCAGTTGCCCATTTTTAAAATTTGGTATTTTATTTGAGGGAGTCTAATTTTTTTTTTAGTTATTCAATAGCTATTGATTTATTTTTGTATTCTAGATATTAGTCTTATGTTCAGGGAGTAGCTGGTAAATTTTTCTTTCCTTTCTGTAGGTTGTTTCTTCACTATACTGCTTGTTTCCTTGCTATGCAGAAGCTTTTAAATGTGATGCGGTCCCATTTATTGATTCTTGCTGTTATTTCTTGTGCAGTTGGACTTTATTCAGAAATTCCTTGCCCAGCCCATGTCTTCAAAAGTTTTACCTATTTCATTTGACAGCAGATTAAATATTTCTGTTTTAATTTTAAAAGAGAATGTGATTTTCATTTACTGAAGAAGTGGAGCATACAAAAGTATAAAATACTTTGTATTCTAAAATTTTCAAAATATGTACTTATTTAGAGTATTTAAAAATGGAGGTACATGTTACATATATTTATTATATTTAATATATCTAGAGTATTTGGAATATATTTATGATATATAATTTTATAAAATAAATTCAAGGACTCTAAGAACTCTAATAGTAAAGAGAAACAATTAAAAATGGAAAAGGGCTCTGAATAGACATATTTTCAAAAATGATATATAAGTTTCAGTAAGTACACAAAAGGTTGTTCAACATCATGAGCCATCAAGTAAATGTTAATCAAAACCACAATGCTACAGTATTATATACCCACTAACCAGGTCTGTAACAAAACACATACACACATATACACGCACGCGCGTGCACACACACACACACAGAGTAACAACTGTTGTCAAGGATGTGGAGAAATGGAAATCCACATCCATTGTT